TTCAAGTACACAATAGCAAAAATGGGTACTCGACGTTTGCAACAAGCCAGAGTTCTTTACTTTTATACTCTACGAGGCGCTCTGACTCGGAGTGCAAGTTTATCCCAGTGGCAAGTACTGCGAAGATCACATCGGACGGTTGATCCGCCCCTCCATTCCCTTTCAGCCTCGTGTTTTTCTCTTTTCCCTGGCCGCTCGGCATTAAGCTTCCATTCATTGTGACTGGTATTGACTTATCTGGAGGGTCATCTCGCTCTCTGCCAGGTGTTGCACGCCTCCTCGTGTAACGTGTTTTCACCGCCTTTGATCATTCTCTGGAACGCCTTGCCTTCAAGTTGCGTGTCCTAGATAAGCAAGGTGCGTCGTGTTCCTTGTGTGGTGTCTCTCCTTCCCACTCCTCATCACATCTCCTCGCACTTGGAGCTAGGCTCGGTAGCTTGAGCTTTCTGTTTCCCACTGCTTCTCCTCTTCGTCTCTTATTCCCAGCGTCCAAACCCGCAGCTTGTTGCTTATTTTTGTGCTCTAGGGTCTTGTGTGCTGATCTTGATCTTAGGAATCATAGACGACTTCCTTTCACTCACTCTCTGACGATTTTGGAACCCTGGGCTGCGCCTGCGGTGTCTTCGATTTCTTGGTTTTCATCAAGTGTTGGCACTTTTGAAAAATCACCCTTCTTCCGGAACTGGGGTGCCGCAGTCACCTTTTCATTTGTTCGTAAATATTGGGCTCTGGTACATTCCTCCCTCTTCCCTCCTACCGCCCGCTGTCACCTTCAGTGCACTCTATAACCGACGCCCATTCTCTTCTTGATTTCCTTCAACAAAAGCCAAGCCACGATGCACGTATTCATGCTTCTTACCCTTGCACTCACACTTTATCCATACCCTACCGCCGCACACAACTCCTTACTGTCTCGCGCACACAAAGTTGCGGTCAAACACAGTTCGGGTCTAGCCCGCGATCTCCGCGTAGCTTTTGGTGGCGTTCTCGTGGCGCAACCTGGTTCTGCCCCGACGCAGAATGTGTATTGCGTTTCGAGCGGAGGCGGAGGGGTGATTGTGTCTGGTGGTAGTGGGAATTCTTCATCATCCAGTGGGACATCGACAACGAGAACGACGAGTGGTGCTCAACCCACTAGCACCTCTGTTCCCTCTTCTTCCTCTTCTTGGAAGCCCATTGCAACATACTCCAACTCTACCTTCTTCAATGGCTGGTCCTTCTATACCGCTGCCGATCCAACCAATGGAAACGTCCAATACGTGGATCAAGGCACAGCCCAGAATGCCGGGCTTATTGAGATCAATGAAGCCGGGAATGCGGTGATGAGAGTGGAGACGACGCCGACTGTGCAGACTAATAGGATGAGTGTGAGGATTACCACAGATCTCACCTTTACGGAGGGATTGGTGATCATGGATGCTGTGCATATGCCGACAGGGTGTGGGACGTGGCCTGGTAGGTGTTTCTCCATCTTTTACGTTTTGCGCAGCAAACACTGATGGGATATTTGGACTGACTTCGTACACACGTGCAGCCTTCTGGACAAACGGACCAAACTGGCCTGACAATGGCGAAATTGACATCATTGAAGGGGTCAATAACTACACCAACAATCAAGCCACGATCCACACTGGCGTTGGGTGTAGCATTACGAGCACCAATTCTGGCACCCTTGGCATCACTGGTACTGTTGTAGGGGGGACGGATTGTTCTGCTGCGCAGTCAAACAATGAGGGATGTGGAATGCGTTCGCCTAGCGATACCAGCTTCGGAAACGGGTTCAATTCTGTCGGGGGTGGTGTTTATGCCAGTAAGTGGTCATGTGTGAGGATGATATGGTTTGGGACTGATGGCGATTTGGGGATGCAGTGTATTGGGAGAACAATGTCGGGATTAAAGTATGGTTCTTCCAGAGGGGATCAATACCTGCAGACATCACAGCCGGTGCACCACAACCGCAGAACTGGACCACACCGATGGCGTTCTGGGCTAACTCAGGTGCTTGTAATATTTCTGCTATGTTCGTAGACCATAGTACGATATTCGATACTACACTCTGGTGAGTATTTGTCCTCGTTCAGAGTGAGGAGGGGAGGAGCTGACGAATGGGGTGCAGCGGCGATTGGGCAGAGGGGGTTTGGGGTGGCACTGGTGTACCCGGGCAATCAGTCAGTTGTCAACAGCAAACTGGATTTGCGACATGCGCAGAGTTCGTACAGGCAAGCGGAGCATCATTTAGCGAAGCTTGTGAGTGACTTGGTCCAAATTCTACTGCATCGCTCAATTGTGATTTGACAGACTGGGAAGTATCGAGTGTCAAGATATACCAAGATACCTCGACTTCATCGTGACCATCTTTCTAAACAGCGTTGGATAGAACATGGTGTAATTCTTAGATGTACATTGTCTGGATTTTAGCACTTAAATAAATAAATAAATGTGATAACTAAGTTATATATTGGCTTATACGGTGACGAGTGCGCATCGCGTGACATCGGTGTGACAATTCCCAATACGGATGTTCTACACCTTTCTGGAAATCACGGGGGCTTTGAAGAACTCACCTCACTTGATTTGTGGAACGACGTCGAATACACGAGACGGACGACGCGCGTTTTACAGTCAGCTGCGGGCTGCGGCGAGGCGGGTAACATGGACTATAAAAGCCAGCGACATTTGGACGGGATGAGACATCAGATCACTTTTGAGAAAACGACTTCAGCAGCACTCACATCCATCTTCCGATACAAATGTTCGTCATCTCCCCTGTTTCAGCTCTTCACTCCTCTGCTTCTCATCCCCACTACTGCGCTCCCCGCCCGTCCGCTCGTGACAGGTACCTCGCTGCAATTGCCCAGGCGGAAGCAGACTTTGCTCATGCACAGGCACTCGAGCAACAGCGTGCCAGGGAAGCTTATGCACGCAGGCAGCACCAAGAGAACATCAGGCGTCAACTCATCCTTGATACCTTCTATCCCAAGAACGATATCGACTACGACTATCACTACGACCTCCCATACACCCACTCTCGCTATCCTGCCAATCTCAAGCGCTCCCGCCCCTACTCCGCATATGCTCAAGAGATTGCGGAGAGAAGTGCACGGAAGAGGCAGGTTGGTCACGAACGCGAGGCGCGCTTAAACGAGTGGAAGAAAGTCGTCGCCGCACGCCGTAACCAAGAAGAAGGGACGAGGCGTGCCCGACAGGCACACGAGATCCTTGATATGTTTACTCGTCCTCGGGCTGAACCTGTAAGTGCGTCTAAGCGCATGGCGCATGGCGGTAACTTACCGTTGGTTTCACAGAAGCAGGAGCCTAAGAGAGAGAATGCGCAGCAACGGCCAGACGAAGACAAACTCAAGGACCGGCTCGAGTCGCGCCTCATGAATGAGTACGAGTCTGACGTCAGAGACGCCCTCCAGTCCATCCTTGATTCTCTTTCGCCAATCCAGTCCGTACCTGCACCCGAACCTGCATCCAGACACGCCCCCGGGCCTGAAGTCAACCCTGTCTCGGAGCATGTTCCAGAGCCAACTAAAGACACTAAAGGCAAATCCAAACAAGTCACTTTCGACCTCCCGACTGCCACTGCCACTGCCACTGCCACTGACTCTGACACCGACTCCGAAGCAGAAGCAGAAGCAGACCCCTCGTCCATCCAGTCTTCCCTCTCCGTCATTGACGAAATCAATGCGTCCTTGCGCACTCTAAAGTCAGAGTTCGAGTTCCCGGAGGAGCTGGACTTTACTTCATCAGCTGACGGTTCCGAATTGAAACTGGCATATTCTTCACGCAATGCACCACTGAGGTTCTACGACCATGCTCTCTCGCAGCTCCTTTCTCAGCTTGATGCCATTCCATCTTATGGGTCGAGGAAGGTCAGGGATGCAAGGAAGATCACGGTCCGGAAGATCGAGAATGCATTGGAGGAGCTGGACAGGGCGATGGAGGGGAAGAAGGACGTGGCCGCGTGGAAAGCTGTGAAAGCGAGAGCGGACCCGCAGGTTGAAGCAGATCCGAAAACGCATGCAACGGAAGTTGCTCCCGGACCTATTGAAGTCCCTGTTACGACTGTCGAGCCACTTGTAGTTCCCCCGACCGAGCCTGCTGAAACTCCCCAGAAAAAGGCAGACGAGGTAGACCACGGTTCCTCGGCCCTCGCTGAACCTCAGCCCTCGGAGCCGGAGTCTGCCATCGCAGATTTGATTTATTCCCCATCACTGACAACCGACAATGCATCCACACTTGTCATTTCAGGTTCGATTATTTCCAATACCGTCCAGTCCTCCGCGCATCCCTCGTCAATTCAATCGCCTGTGAACTCCATGGTTGAACTACCTTCCGCGTCCGTCGCTCAATCAACATTCGCTGTCGAACCTTGTTTGACGTCTGTCACCATCATTCCCGCTCAAAACATGAGTTCCCCGGAGAGCGACGTTCCGGTTCCCCACTCAGGTTCACTCGTGGTCACGGATAAGGAAGGAGACACACTCAACGTTCATGAGCCAGTCCTGGCATCTCTTGCATCTCTTCCCGTTCCCACTCCCGCGCTGGCTTCGCTACCAGTTCTGTATGCTCAACCAGTGGTGACGGAGATCCAGCCGAGTTCGCCTTCTACGGAGTCGAGTGTTTCTGCGGACGACGACAACGAAGAAGTGCCAGTGATGCAGGAGGAAGAAGCTGTAGCAGTTGACGGTTTCTTACTTGCACCTGGCAAGGAAGTGGAAAACATCGATGGTGAGGAAGTGCCTTCGGAAGATGACGGGGACGCTGTCCTCATCAACTCTGAACACGAGGATTCATGGTCCGAGGTTGATGCATAGTATAGTATGTACGGGATCATCTCCCATCACGGCAGGTATTGTACCATATAGTGCAGCGAACATAGTTGATTGTACTCTACATGCTCTAAACTCATGATTGGTTATACACTTTCACGCGCAAGTGTGAGGGGAGTCATACATAACTATTATAAGGAAACTGGAGAGATTAACAGTACCGCCCGCCTAGCTCAATCGGATAGAGCGTCAGACTTTTACGATTGTACGAGTCGTGCAGGGTGGTGATCTGAAGGCTGCGAGTTCGACCCTCGCGGTGGGCTAATAGTTTTTGAGGTATGTCCACTTAGTACACCGCAGGCAAAAACCGATGTTCCTAGATAAAACACTG